CGCCTAGACCTCTATGTTACAACATGTCAGTTGACAAAAAGTTGTTTCATATCAGAAATTCCTCACTTTCACATAAGCCAACCACACAGAACATAGAAAGTTGTCGCATAATACCTCCAACGGAACAGCAACTGCTCTGATCTATACCTGCCAAATCCAACACTACCCGGAAGGCCATTGCAATATAAAACACAGAAAATCTTTGTATGGATCTATCAATTTTTCTGATGCAATTGATAGCATATTCATTCAACAGCCCCCCAAATTGCCATAAATGATACTTCCCCAAAGGGCGATATCCATAGGCCACACAATCCTGACTTCTCTAACATAAAGAAAATTTGTGCTACACTTTATCATGTCTACGGAAGCATAAAGCCTACCCCTTGGAATTCAGTGAAGTACAACGTGGATATAAAATCAAGAACGTAGAACACAGGGGCTGAGGATCTTGAAGCAAACACTGGAGGTTGGAAGCCAAAATGGACGACCATCAAGGGTAAAATGGTTGTAGAAGCCAAACTGGATAGCCATCAAGTGTGAAATTTTTCAAAAGGTGTAGTATGAAAGTGGCAAGCTCAAGTCTTGGGGATATTGAGGTATTTTGGTTCTGGACATCCATGAGATATAAGGTATTAAGCAGATAGGTAAAGGAAGTGACACAGATCAAAGCAAGCAGAATGCTGCTAAGGATGCCACATGGATAAATGGTAAAACTCATAAATTCATAATGAAAAATTTTAAGAAAAAAATAAGGAGGCAGAAAATGGAAAAACTTTGATGAAGGGTTTGGGATAAGAATCCAAGGTATGCTGGGATTCTTGATCCTGTCAAGTTTCCAGATAAACTGGGATAATGGAGATATTAAGGGTCCTTTAAAAGTAATGGAGATATTCATAATGAAAATTTTTAAGACAAAAATAAAGAGGCAGAAAATGGAAAAACTTTGATGAATGGTTTGGGATAAGAATCCAAGGTATGCTGGGATTCTTGACCCTGCAAGTTTCCAGATAAACTGGAATAATGGAGATATTAAGGGTCTTTTCAAAGTAATGGAGATATTAAGGGTCCTTTGGACTGGGATTCTCTCTTCCTCAAGTTTCCACCAGCATACCTTGGGATTCTCTCGTCCTCAAGTTTCCACCAGCATACCTTGGATCCTGTCAGGTTTAGGCAGAAAGTAATATTGTAGCCCAAGAAACCTGTTTATCGCCCAGGGATCCTGTCAAGTTTCCACCATCTGAAGGGATTCAATAGGAATGAGCCAATTTGGCTGAAGGGTTTGTACTTTGGAGATTGTTCTTCAATAATGTTGACTTGGTATCAGATGTTCCATGCCAGAATAATCTTTCTTGAGATCATCATAAGCTTATATTAGTTTAAATTTCTGCATGTGAGGTCATGGTTTCATACTTGCTTTTAGCCTTTTAAGGAGTATATTTTCACAAATGTGTACATTTTATTGTACGAGCAAAGCATGCTAACATATAACTACATACTTTTCACCTGTATAGATCTCTACAATCATGGGAATCAACATCTCCATGGTTGTCTAACATGATCCTTAAGTATAAGAATCAAAACATTGAAATAACTTGCCGTAAATAAGTTGGTGAAATGTATCAGCTGTTGAAATGTTCTGTATGATTACTTTACAACCAAGCACCTGCCCGACTTCAGAAAACTATTCAGGACACTGAAAATGGAACTTCTAAAAAAAATTCATAGAAAACATGCCGCTATCTGTTCTTAGAACCCATTTCAATTTTCTCAGGTTCGCAAATCCTTTTAGTCCATGATGAAGATCGCATGACAAAAGAACCATAAACAAATGGATAAGATCCTTTCGACTAAATAAGGTTAATTACTTTGTCCACTTTTCATCACAAAAATGGCATGATCCACCAAACAGTCCTTAAACATCGACAAATAATAGTTTGGTTGGGTTTGGAAAGAAATGGCTGTAATTAAGCCAATAGTATACACATACCAAAATATTTTGTATGCCTAAAAATATGTGGCTCCCGTGGGAGTATACTAACCATTTGCTCCATCAGGTAAAACCTAAGCTAGGAGTATTGTTTGGACTCCAAATTTTGGGGATGTAACCTTTTGAACCTAGCAACCAACTTCAAAGGAGGAAATTAAAATCACACAATCTATGAACTTGAAAAACACTACTGTCTCAAAATTGAACAGAGGTTGTATGATATACCATGATAACATGATGTCACAAATAAAATGATACACTTAACTACCACATTACGTAGACTAATAGTATGGTAGTCTAAATTACATTGTAAAGCTAAACTTCCGTTTCTTGTTTGAAACAAAAGCTAACATTCATTGTTCAGTTGCAAGAATCTTCTACACTCCTTATGATTATGTATTCTACCCTACAAAAACAAAACAAATCCATAGATTGACTGATTGCTATAAACTCTAATTATTCATGCCCAAAATGCCATTAAGATGCCCTAATTACCTTCTCAAATAGACCAAGATTACCATCTCCCAACTATTTGGAGTCCCTACACAAATCTCGGTCTGTCATGCTGCTCTATTGAAGGCCATACCCTCAATGAGGTCATTCTCCATATCTTTCTCACTACTTCCAACCATGTTCTTTTTGGGCCTACCCTTTGCCCGATATACATTCTAATAAAATTGCAGTTACCATACCATACATCCATCCTTCCTTTAGAAGTAACCTTCCACATGTGCCTTTGGTGTCTAGTTAGTTCTCTAAGACATGGGATGGACACCTCAAAAGAAACTTTGCCAGAGCATCCTTTCCCCAAAAAGAAAATAATTTCCCATCCCCTACATGGAAACATAAACTTTCTATTTTTTGGCCACAACAATAGCTATCCAAGCTCTTTAGCATCCACTAACCCTTCTAAATTCCACCTACTGCAGTCCATCCCCTATATTACACTTACTAACAATGATTAAAAGTCCAGCACCCTAAGCTCATCCAAGAAACTTCAAACACTTCATAATAAGTTTCATGATCAAGATGGAACTCTACCAAATATAATATCATATCAAAGGCTGAGATAGCCCATCATTGCATTTGGTATTCCATGAGGTCATTAATTTAATCCTCAAAATAAAGTCCCAAAAAGATAGCCAATCACATGAAAATGGTTTTTCACTGATAAATTTAGACTGTAAACTGATACTTTTAAGCCTAATATGCATAGTTATCAAAAGTCAACCAATTACAAAAGAGCTAATATTATTTATGATGTAATAGTGTTTCGGTAAAGCCAGTGCTCCAAGGAAGTATGTTAACTTGCAACATAGAAGATAACTTTCAACATAGAAGAGGAAATCTATACGCTTTTTTATGATAAGAGTTCCCATGATGCTGAATGCTGATTGAACTTTCATAAAAAAAAACATAAAGTAGAGAGCCAATGCAGCCAAAAAAATAGAAATTTTGTACTTCACAAACAACTATAATTAGAAATTTAATACTGCACCATTATGAAGCAGTCACTAATTTGTCCAAACACAGGAAAGAACCAGAGTGCAAAAAAACTCATTGAATCACATTGCATGAAAATGTTTAAATCACTCAGCAAATTGACTCCATAGGAAGCTATGAACGACTGTAAGACATATGAGATGAAGGTTCAAGATGGATCCACAAAAAGGCCAATCAGCATAGAAATGAACACAAGTGCAAAAAAAACTATAGAATGATATTGAATGAAAACTTTTACTCAATCCTCATATTGACTTCATAGAAAGCTACGATCTACTCTAGAAGATATATAAGGTGGGAGGTCATGATGCATCCATAAAAGGCCATTACAAAGTTTCTGCATACAGCATCAAGTTTTCATATTTTGTCTCCATCATGTGCATCCAAGTTTTAAATTCTCCCAACATCTCCATTCCTTCAAAATTCAGAGTATTAAGTGTACACATGAGAAGAGGAACAAAAGTTCCAATACAATATTAGAATATTTGTCACAACGAATTTCTATCAAAAGGAAATTATAACAATCCCTAGAAGTTTGACTCGGAGAATCCCATTAGAGGTGGACCCGTGAATATAATTTTGATAATGACTATGGAAATATAATTTGGACAACCATGCGAATTTATCATACGATAACCTCAAGTGATCTCTCCCTAAAAATAGTAATAAAAAAAAAAAAAGATATTTCCCAATATGGTCCGGATGGGGGGACTAAGATCGTCCACCGACGATCCGGATCCACAATTCCCAATAGATCATTATTTTTTCAAACACTTCCGTTGCTTAAGTCATACAAGATTCACCAAGAAAATAGACTGAGACAAGGAGTGTATGAATTAAGTTTTGCCTGGTAACACACGTAGAGACTAAAATTAACCATCTGGGTTGTGTTCCACATGGACAGCATAAGCTCAACTCTACATGCAGAGCATAAGTTCAACATTAACTGACAGTTAGAGGCCCGAATCATAAACTACGAATGTATTCATCCTTTTAGTACGGTACAACAATCAAAGCTTCACAAAAATGAATGGAGGTCTCAATCAGAAAAAACACATATATTAATTCCATGGTTTTCCCAACTCCTACCATTGCATGAATGAATATCCGAATTATGAATTGTCGGGAAAGTTAAAACTTCTCACTTAATTGGGTCTTCTAGATGAATGCTGGAAAATAAAAATTGGGTTTCTGGAAGGCTGATGGATATTTCTGGATGGCTCATGGATAATCAATTCAGCAACCAAAACCAGCAGAAAGAAACGAGCAGCTTTGAAATCTTAAAAGAAGATCATATGATTATGAAACCATAAAAGACTAACTCGTAAAAGAAGAAAAAGCAGGCAAAACCATAATCAAATATCCACAGAAAAACCCAATTCAATAAAATAAGACGCTATTCACCAATCATCAAAGAACATAAAACCGAAAAAAATCCCATAAACAAAAAAAGAGAAGGAAAAAAGAAAAAAAGAAGCACAAAACCCCAAAGAGACCAGCATCTCACCAGAGCCACCATGCTTGGCCCTCTTCATCTTCTTGAGCTCGAGCTGAGCATCCACAAACATCTGCATCCTCTGATATTCCAACTCCTTAGTGAACTCCATCCTCTGTTTTTCCAAATCTACAAGCTGTTGTTGCTTTGAAGTCTCAACCCTCTCATATATCTCACCAAACCGAGCAATTGCTCGAGCAAGCTCTCTAAAAGCTGCTCTAGGTTCAGAGAACCCATTCGATCGACCAGGACAACTCTCAGTCGAGTCTCTGGAATCACCAGAGCTTGCAATTCCTCTACCCAAAGGTGACCCATTTATGGCATCTGCAACTAGGGGTGGCTTCTCTTTGACGGGTTTTACTGTAAAAGTCACAGGAGCCCTTGTTACACGAGAAACGAGCTTTTGGGACTTTTTAGATGGACCTATAAGGTAATCAAGGCGAGCATAGAAGGGCCATTTGGGGGTGTAGGCACCATTAGAGGCGATAATTTTCGCCTTCTCAAGCTTGAACTTCTTCTTCAGAGTATCAATTCTGTTCTTGCATTGGATATCAGTTTTGAAGGATCGAGATGATGTTGAATGTCGAGAATTTACAGCTTCTGCAACTTCTTTCCAATGCTTCTGCTTGAGGTTTCCTCTGTTAAGGTGGAGGTACCGCTCGCCCCATGCCTCGACTAGAGTGAGAGTGGCTCCTTCGCTCCAGCAATCTTCTCGACCATTAGAGGTGGGTGTCGTGGTTATGGTGCCATCTTGTTGCTTGGTGGAGGTGAGGGCCAGAGAGAGCGCGCGGCTCTGTGTGGTGGCCGGTGGGTGGGATGCAATTGGGGTCGCGTCAGGTTCGTCCATGAGTGGGTGGCTAGTTCTCTCTGTTTCTGGTCTCTCTTTCACAGCTCCGCTCTCTGGAGCTGTGGACTGAAGATCGGCAAATCTCTCTCCCACCTCTCTCTCTCTCTCTCTCTCTCTCTCTCTCTCTCTTCGCCTTGGCGTCTCCTGCCCACCCACTCACTCTTCTCTCTCTCTTCCTGAAACCAGCCTCGCACCAGACTGAGTCTACTTCATTCTTCTCTCTCTCTTCCACTCTCTCCCTCTCCCTCTCCCTCTCCCTCTCCTTCCATCACTCCGCTGACTCACCACCACTCCCTCTCTCTCTTCCCCTCTCCTTTTTCTCTTCTCCCGGACTCTCCAACCAACCCCTCTCTCTCTCCTTTCTCTCTCTACTCTCTCTCTCTCTATACTCTCCTCTCCCCTCTCTCTCTATACTCTCCTCTCCCCGCAATCTACTCTACTATTTCTCTCTCTCCTCTCTCTCCTCTCTCTATACTCTACACTCTTTCTCTCTCTACTCTGTCGTCTCCCGTCTATTTTGTTGGGTACGCTTTTCCATCTCTTCGGTACGAAGAAAATGATCAGAAAACACGCCGATGTTTCGTTCGAAGGTCGATCATAAACGGCTCTACTTTTTTCAAAATTAGCCGAGACTGACCAATCCCTCTCCCTTTCCATTGTGAGAAGTATACTATTTTGTTATACATGGGTATCATAATCGCCAAAAAGTAGTACAACCCCCATGCACAAATATATGCAAGGAATGGGCCCAATATAACATAATTGTGGGACCTGCCCATTGATTAATATCCAATGAGCATTCCATTGCGAACACATGTATATGTATAGTTAAAGGATGCTGAGTATGCATGTGGGGATCTAAATAATTGGTGATCTGAATCAGAATTGACCGATTCAAATAAAAAAAAAACAAAGGACATGCTCATCCTGCCCCAAAATATCAAGAACCGGTTAGTTCATGATATGAACTAGCTAGAACTGGCTTTATCCTCTTATTTTTACAGTTTTTATTAGCCGGTTCAATTAATCTAATCGATGATCTAGATTGTTGATATGTCCAAACATACTAGTTTTTCAAATTGGGATACAAACCTTTTTTTTAAGAGAAAATTACATATACTCCTCGAGATGTAGCTTCTTAGACAACCTCCCTCCAACTGCTTTTTAGATGACTCACTAAACCCAAATACGATTTTGTGTGGCATTATAGTCTCGCAGTTCTTAGTTGCAGTCTAGCACTTGCTTAGAGTTGTCCAGCAGTTCTTAGTTGCGATCCAACAATGTTGCTTCTAGATGCACTCTCTGGTCCAACAATTTGGTAATGCGGTCCAGCAATTCTTAATTGCAGTCTGACACTTTCTTAGAGTGGTCTCGCAGTTTTCAATGGTAGTCTTGCAGTTCTTAGTTGCGGTCCAACAATGTTTTTTCTAGATGCACTCTCCAATCCAATAATTTGTTAATGTGTTATGGCAGTTCTTAGTTGGGGTCCAACAATGTTTTTTCTAGATGCACTCTCCAATCCAATAATTTGGCAATGTGTTATGGCAGTTCTTATTTGTGATCCGGCACTTCCTTAGAGCGGGCCGATAGTTTTCAATGGCTGCCCGACAGTCCTTAATTGCGATCCAACAGTGTTTCTTTTAAATGCACTTTCCGGTCCAGCAATTTGGTAATGCGGTCTAACAGTTCTTAATTGCAGTCTGGCACTTTCTTAGAGCGGTATGGCAGTTTTCAATGGCGGTCAGGCATTTGTTTTGACTAACGGGCTAATGTCGTACGATTTGGCTTTCGGTCCAGCAGAAATATGTGCCGACATAAGAATGTGTCATCAAGGTGTACAGGAAGAAGCATTTTTATCCTTACACCTATGATTTTTTTACTTGAGGGGGTCTTTTCTAGAAAAGCTAGTTTTGAGGTAAAAATTGTGATTCGAAAAAATAGTTGTGGGGAAGATGTATAAAAAGTTGAATCAAGGAGGATTTTAGTAATTGTTTCTTTTCTTTAAACCTTGATGTAGAAGAATGGAATGTAGAGGGATTTGTTGCGGCACATGACGGAGAGGTAGCATACTGTTTAGAGGCAAGAATTACTCTACATGCTACCTGAGGTAGGATTAATAAGTTCTTTAAATGAGAGACGAGGTGGACTCCGACTTTAAGTTCCATTTCTATGTATGTGGCTCATGCCCCATCAATAGTAATGATCTTGGATAAGATCTCTCTCTAGCATATTATCTTCCTAAATTCCTTTTAGTAGAAAAGATCACTTTTAAGGAAGGAGCATCTTTCGTTATTTAATATTTTATTACTGAAACTAGCCAATTTAACCCGGGCTCGTTTCTTTATTTACCGAACCATCTTTAAACCTCAACATAAAGCGTATCATTCAAAAGATCAATCCCTTTTCTCTTGTTTCTTTGATCTACAGTCGCTGCACATTATTGATTAAGAGTTGAGACAGAACTTGTCAAATCTGTTTTCAATGCACTTGAATAACTTCGACAAATGTTTCAAAATCTTAATCGGTAGGGTGGATTTTGCACCCCAAGTATATGTGTAGGATCATTGGATTGGTGATCCATATCACTTTGGATTGGTTCCAAACAGCGACACAGGAAAATATTAAAAATAAAAATGAAATACAAATTAAAATAGACTTTCATGGGGGTGCGGAAGAGAACAAAAAATATGAAAGGGGGGATTTATGGGGGAACCGAGCCGGGATGGATACTTTCAAGAAACCCATTTGGTCTTATTAGAAGATTCCCAGTCTAGATTGGTAATTCCTAAATCGGATCGCCAACTGGTGTTCAAATAGTCGCCAATCGGAATCGATTTCGACAGGGATCCTCCACAAAACTGGAAATTGGACCAATTTAAACTAATCATTCAATTCCATCAGAGAACTGTGCAATTCTATCAAAAGAATAGTCCATTCCACGAATCGACCCAGTCAATTGAGATCAAAAGAATAGTCCGTTCCACGAAGCGAGCCAGTCATTTGAGGAACGAAAACCAAACCCTTCTTTTGACCACAGCATGCCATTATTTTACTTTTTGGTCATTTTACATCTATTTTCAATTAAAATCCAGCCATTTTTTTCGTCTTTAATCTCTACTAGATTTCTCATGTTTAAACCCATATCGCTAAAATAAAAATTTGAGAACATTTGAAAGCAATAATTTATTTTGAGAATAAATTTGTTTAATATATTTTGGTCTATTTTCATTTTTTTTCCCAGATTAAATGTATTTTTTGACTTTTCCCCATACCAAAACCAATCGGAACACTTTAATATGTTTTGAATTTCAGAAAGAAAAAGAGAGGATCTGTTTTTAGGCACTTGAAAGTAAACCAGTTTGATTTCTATTTGAATTGAAATCAAACAAGCTTAATATAATTTCTTGACTTTTCCCCATATCAAAACCAATCAGATCGGTTTCATGTGTTTCGAATTTCAGGAAAAAAAAAAGAAATTTTTTTAGGCACTTAATATTCAAAATCTTTGAAAGTAAACCAGCTTGATTTCAAATTGAATTGAAATCAAACAAGCTTAATATGTTTTCAATCACAAAAATCCCAAAACTTTTGAATCAAGACCAGATGATTTTCTTTTTATAATTTATTTTTTGAATCTGATTTTTTTTGACAATTTTTTCAACTTTTTCCCAATATCCGCCTATCTAACTTGTTCTTTCACACTCATTTTGTGTGAAATTTGTCCCAACATGCTTCTGTTTGAGCCCCCTACAAGCCTTTTAAAATTATTTTTCAGAACGAAGCACCTTTTTACTGAAATCTGAATGCTCAAAAATTGGGCTTTTTGGAAACCGAGTAAAAACCTTTCCAAATCTTAGTTTGAAATGATTTAAATCCGGTTGCTAGATTAAACTAATTTAATTCTTTTTCTAACAAATAACAATGTCAAAGTTTTCTTGGGTTTTTTCTTGTTTTTAACTTATTAAAAAGGAAAAATCAGTTTTAATTCATTTTCTTTAACTTATTTCTATTTTAATTTTTTACAGATTCACCCAATTGGTGACCCATATCATGAATCTGCAATCCAAATCGGTCCAACGAGGGACTGATTTGGATAGCAAATCTGTGTTTGAAAATCTTGATTCATCCATTAAATTGGCACCACTAGACCATACGCAGTCGCAAATTCTTATGACAGAGATCAAATTTGGATCATATAGTCTCAACCTCTGACAGTTCACTTCCCTTCCATACGGTTGACACTACATGCCAATGCTTTACATACATGAATCTAAGAAAAGAAAATCCCATCTTCACAGTTCACATCAAGAAGTAACTCTGAGGTTCATCCAGCTCAATGGGGAAACAAGGTCTCTCCATCTCTCACTTTTTAATAAAACACTGCTCTTATTAGAAACTCTAAATCTCTCTTTCACTATGCTTCCCTTGTACATTTCCAAATCTGAAATTTTTGCGACATAAAAGTATAACTCTGTTCAAATTCAGCATTGTGGTGAGGGCATAAAAGCTTGAAAACTAATGCCTGAAGTTCAAAATGCAACTTACCCACCCATTAGAAGAAAAAAAAGGGGGAACAGTATAAACTACAACTGAGGTTGCATTTGTCTTTCAGGAGAAATATCTATGGCACGTGGATGCTAAAGTTTAACTCACAAAACTGATCAGATAGAAAGCAACAGCGCTTAACATGGCAGCAAGAAACATGTTGCACATGGATGCTATAGCTCTTGACTCGTTAAGGCCTACAGGGAATCTGCATTGGCCCACTGAGGGATCAACAGTTGTGATTAACCCCAGCCCATCAAAGTTGCACCCCTCAGACGTCTGATTCCAAGCTTGGTAATAACTATTAAAGGCATACGATGCATTTCCTGGCCACCCCAAACCAAAGCAAGAACCACCATCTAACAAAGCCGTGCAATCAGCCTCAGCACAAGCCTCTTGAACCTTAGCTGAGACATTTGAAATGTCCTTATTGTTATTCACTACACACCACTTCAGCGACATATACTCCACACCTTTTGAATTTACTAGGTCCCTTGAACCTTGGCCTAGATCCACTTGGTACTTAGCCTGGCCATCAAAAGTGAACACACCCCAATGTCTCTCGAACCCCCCATTGATTAACTTCCTCTCGTTTTCATCTAACAAGCTCAAGATATAGAACTCTTCCACTATAGTTCTATTTGGCCTTAGTGGTGTGCCACTTTTGCTCTTTAAATGATCCTTAAGACCTTGAAGGAAGGCCCTCGCATTCGCTGAGGTGGCGTTTCGAGACCCATCAGTTGGCCAACCTATTTTCCCAATCAGAACTTCCATTTTACCAAAACCCAGATTAGATAAGGCAGTTATGAGAGTGTCGATGCTTTGATCAAGGTAGTTTCCGTAGGTGCTTTTGCCATCCTTAAGATGGTGGGAACTGGGGCGAAAGATAGCATAATCTATGGGGAAGCTCTTGTTTTGATAGACATTTAGGAAAGGGTAGAGGTTTATGACAAAGGGCGAACGGTTCTTGGAGAGGAAGGAGAGAAGTTGAAGCATGGTTGAGTTAAGATCGGGTCGAAAGTGGCCTTCGGAAGGGAGGCCTGAGGGGTTAGAGAGATAGGCATCAGCATTGCATGGGACCACTACTTTGACCCTGGTTTCAAGTCGAGCTTTGACGAGTGCTAGTTGAATGTTGATGGCTGCACCCACAACATATGGCTGGAATTGGCCTTTGTATATATGTAGAAATGGTTCGTCTCCAATAGCAATAGACCTGCAAAGTCAGCAATCAGAAGGCTTGTGTACACAGAAAGTACATACATGCATATCTACGCATGTGGGAAGGTGTAATGACCCAATTTTTCAATCGATCAAGGAAAAATGAACAGTGATGACCGCGATGGGAATTGATCTTACATAGTCCATTGACCATACATGGTCATTGTCCCCCCAACAGACACACATATTTTAAATTTTCTTTTAAGGAAAAGGTAATTTTTTTGAAAAGAAATATTCAATTGATGAATGATGTTCCCATTGAAACAAAAAATTTTATTTGATTTAAATAGATGTAGATGCTCATAAATATAGAACAAAGTTAACTTATTGATCAAAGAGTGTTAGTACATTTCCTTTATGGTGCCATACAAGGTCAATAGATACAATTACAGCATTTGATCCAACACTCTACTGCATTTGCAACTGCATCACTCATACAATGGTTACCTTGCTTTTCTTCCATGCCATGACATCCAAGTCTTCATTGTCCCAGAGTCTATAAAAGCCCAAATCATGTCAATATCAATCACCAGGTAAAGGACTCGTCAAATTCAACTCCAGAAATTTGATTAAATCCTTGGGGCACTAAATCTTCTTGTAACATTCAACACTAAAATTAGATTTCAGTTACAGTCAAAGGCCCATGATATCTAATAAGATTATGTTATGATGTGAAACAAGTGGCTTGCTACCATTGTTCTCAAGTTAAGTTATTTCATCAGACATTATAGCCAACAAGTGAGCAGTGTTACAACGTGCCATATTTCAAATCTCCCAGCATATACAACATCTTGAGCGACTCATGAGGGGAGCTCCTATGGGCAGGAGGGGGTGACTGTCACCACAACCACCTTGTTTTCTTGAACACTATCACCCTACCCAAAAACAAGGGGGGGCCCAGTGTCACGGCCCTAGTTCAAGCCCCATGCTTCGACCGTGCGACACTCAATCCTTGATCGATTAAGGATGAGTCAGCCTTCCTACCACAAGAACAAACATGCACCAACCAAGAACCACCTCACACACTAGCTTATCCACAAGTATGCACCACACACACAGATTTGAAGCCAAGCACACCACAAGAGAAGGACACACGAGTTGGCTCAAGAGCCTTATAAATCCACTATAACTCAAGAATGCTTTACAAGGTCTCACTCTTCTGAGGTTAATTACAAATGACGGCTCCTCCCCCTTATATATGCTCAAGGCCTTACAACCAATGGTCTAGATACATCCACTTGGCACACATCTGACGGCTAAGACCTTCTAGCCTTTAAAAATCTCTAGAGCACTCCACACAATCCAGCACTTAGGACACATCTAGAAAAACCCATTAGAACCCTCATGAGTTTGCTAGACTGCTCTAGAACCTTCCGGACCCAACTGATAGAAAAATTGGGACCATGTACATGATGTACAAGGTATTGCTAGCACTATGCATAGCAACATCTGTGGGGCGTGACATTCTCCCCCACCTAATCTAGTGACGCCCTCGTCGCAGTCCTTCCATGACGTGTACTCACCCTTGTGTAGCAACAATGCATATGCGTGCTCCTAGCTTGCCTTGCTAACCAACACGCTCTTCCTTCTTAGCCATGTACTTGGCATGCATTACTCATCAATGTTTCTACTGACTGGTTGTCTCCTTCCAGCTTGCCTTGCTAATCAACACGTTCTTCCTTCTAGCCATGTACTTGCCATGCATTACTCATCAATGCTTCTCCTGGCTGGTTGTCTCCTTCGGATGTGCTTCATAGTCAATTTCTTCGGTTTATGCCCCACATCCTTCCTGACCATGCTACGCTGACCATCCTTCATCTTAGTTCCCTTCCTGGCCATCTTGTCATAGACAATCTCTAGCTTGGGTGCTTCCTAAACCTTGGAAGCACCCTTCCTTAGTCTTCGTGTGCTCAACTTGGCAAGGAATAATCACCTTATGTTCCCCTCTTTCAGGTGTTCCCACCATCCTAGCCATAGGAGGCAGCTCCCCCACCATCGTGATCTGCATAACCTACAGGATCCTACAAATTGCCCTGGTGCCTTGCACCACTGGCACCATGCATGGTGTGCCTTCCTCCATGATGCACACCGATCTGCGAATCGCATGGGCCTCACCTTTACTCGGCTCTGGAAGTACATCCCTAGGACCACCTGATAGTCATCCATTGGTACTATGACTGGTCAACCTTGCCACTCCATAGGCCAAGGCGTGTGTCTATCCCACGAGTTGTGCCATGGATGGGCTTGGCCTCTGAATTCACTGCCTTCACCCATCCTGTCTCCTTGGCAAACCGCAAGCCTATCCGATTAGCCTCATCCTTGGAGACAAAGTTATGTCTTGCCCCGTGTCAAGCATAGCCTTCATGGTCTTTCCATTGATATGGGTCTCTATGTACATAAGACCCTTGCTTGGGACCAGCGGTCTCTCCGTGTCAGCCTTCATCCCATTGAAGAGCTGTAGTGACCCCATCTGAGTCTCCTAAACGCCACCCGCATCCTTAAGGTCGTCTACTGTAGCATTTAGCTTCGCCACGAGGGCGCCAAGGTACCCTTTCTTCGGGCAATCTCGTGCCCTATGCAGTTCTTCGCATATAAAGCACTTCAGGCTTAGTGGCATGGTTCCATCCCTCTCAGAGCAATCTCGAATATGATGTGATCCTTTACACTCATGGCAAAAGTGTTGAGTTGTGGGCACGTCCTGTTGGCCCTTGTTATTCCATCCTTCCCTGCCTTCCTTCCATCCTATGGGCTCAGCAGGTGCTTCCATGTGGCCTCTCCACCCTAAGGGCTTACCACGCCCTCCTCTTGGGTTGAAGACCTCTCCTCTTGGTCTCCCCCACCATTGTCGTAGTCATTCATGTAAGGACGCTGCCTAGAGGGGCCATTCCTTCTGAGCTCAACCAACTGTTCGGCCAGCGCCATGGCAGATGCTAGGTCTTGAACCCCATGTCTTTGGAGTTCCTGTTCATCCCAGGGCAGCAAGCCATCCATAAAATTGAAGAACAAGTCCTTCTCAGCCAAGTCTGGGATCTCTAGCATGAGGGTTGAGAATTCTTTCACATAGTCACGGATGGACCCCATGTGCCTTAGTCGTTTCAACTTTTTGCGGGCCAAGTACTCCACGTTCTCAAGATAGAACTGCCTCTCGATTTCCCTCTTGAAATCATCCCACATATCAATGGTGCAGGTCCCCCACTCAATATTGGCATGCCACCTTCACCACCACAATGTAGCTGTGTCTGAGAGATACATGGTGATTGTATGCGCCTTGGCCCTTTCATCCACTAAGGATATGGCCTCAAAATACATCCCTTGCCCCATTGAAGGTCTTGGGTTCAGGTAGACATACCTTAGGGACTTCTTGGGCCACCAGTGCCCCATTACTTACAGCCCTCTTGCATAGAGTCAGGCACCTCTTAGTTCCGCTACCTGCTCCTGCAACTTAGATAGCACACCCATCACTTTGTCCTCAAAGGCTGCCCTCTCTATTTTGTTCGTATTTGTCACCTCATTGAGGGTCAACAGCATGCCAGTCCTTAGGCCCTCAAGCACACCCTCAAGGCCTTCTATACTCTTACCAAGTTGTTCAAATTGATCTTGTCCATAACCCACAGCAAGTTCTAGTCGTGCCACATGTTTCTCAATGGCAGCCAAGGGGTCCTGAGGGTCCTGAGACTTCTGCCCTTTTTCCCTCCTCCTTGCTGGTATTGCCACGACCTTGCCCACTAGCCAGGTCATCCTTGGTCACCTCAGAAGTCATCACGTCCTCTCTTAGCCCACAGATAAGCAGTCAACATAAGCTCCCACGAGCAAGCCTGATGGTTCGCTCGAACCTTGGCTCCGATACCACTTGTCACGACCCTAGTTGAAGCCCGTGCTCTGTGCAACACTTGATCCTTGATCCGTTAAGGATGAGTCAGCATTCTTACCACAAACACAAACGTGCACCAACCAAGTCTAGTACTAGTGCGCGCCACCTCACATACTAGCTTAACCACAAGTATGCATCACACACATAAATTAGAAGCCAAGCACACCACAAGAGAGGGACACACAAGTTGGCTCAAGAGCCCTATAAATCCATTATAACTCAGGAACGCTTTACAAGGTCTCATTCTTATGAGGTTAGTTACAGATTAGGGGTCCTCCCCATTATATAGGCTCAAGGCCTTACAACCGATGGTCTAGATACATCCACTTGGCACACATCTAGCGGCTAGGAACCTTCTAGCTTTTACAAACCTCTAGAGCATTCTACACAATCAAGCCCTTAGGACAAACATCCAAACCCAACTGATAGAAAAAATGGGACAATGTACATGGTGTACAAGGTATTGCTAGCACTATGCATAGCAACATCTTTGGGGCGTGACACTAAGCACTCGAAGCCTCAGATCTGCAACCTAGCCTTGCTGGGGAAATGGTGATGGTGCTTTGCAGCTCAACCTAACCATCTCTGGGAGGCTGTTTTGAGGTGAAAATATCAAATTGACCTCTCTGCTTGGCTGCCTTCTCCCAAATATGACCTCTAGACATTTGGTGGGGTGGTGGTATAGCATGACCAGTCATAGCCATTTTAAGCCTAACTTGAGGTTTAGGGCTAGGGAGGAAAGAAGGGTCAGATTCTGGCTTGACTTAGGATAAGAGACACGAGCCTCCAAATTCAATACCCTCTCTCTCTTCCAAATGGTAGTAACCCTGGAGGCCACCATTTTCCATTCCTGTGAATTGTATGGAGCTACTAGATTTTGGCGTCCTTTAGAAGGCCGCTACAAGACCATGATATTTATACATTTGCCTCATTATTAGCTCTACTCCAAAGCTCTTACCTTCCTCTATATGGCCCAAATTGTTGCATCTGGTCACCAGCGGCGTCCCGATCTTGGTCTCCTCTTTGTATGGCACACTGCACCAACCCACCACCCTCTGCCTCATCTTTATACACTGTGGATACAAGGGTGCAGCTGAACCCAATCCCACCTAACATCCAAAACT